TGTGTGTGTGTGTGTGTGTGTGTGTGTGTGTGTGTGTGTGTGTGTGTGTGTGTGTGTGTGTGAGAGAGAGAGAGAGCGTGAGCAGTGTGTGCCAGATGTTTGGCTCTCAGAGCTTCTAATACTCGTTCTGCTTTAATCTCAAAGCAGCACTAACACAGTCGATCAACAGAGACCGGATCACAACGACGGCTTCCCAGAATCTCTCTCTCTCTCTCTCTCTCTAAAGAGATAATCATTCATGCAGATGCCTCCAATCCGTCTCCTGCTGTGTGCGGAATGAGATTGGAAATTAAAATGATCAACCGTTTCAGTCTTTATTTAGCAGTCAGAGCTGTAGTTGCTGTTTAAAACGAGTGTTTGTATTTCTCAAATTCATTAAACGGATAATTTTCGCACTCTGTTCTGAAATCTAGTGAGCTGCCTATGTAGGCAGCATTTTAAGGCAACATACAGTAGTTGAGCTCCCGATGCAAAGCCTGTTCCAAAAGTCTCAGGCAGCATCACATGCATGCTTGATAGGTGCAGGTAATCCCAGAATGCATTGCGACAAACTTAAAAAATCCAGAATGTGTATAACTTTTTTTTTTTAATTATATATAAATATTTTTTAAAGAAATTAGTACTTCTATTTAGCAAGGATGCAATAAATGTATCAAAAGTCACATTAAAGACATTTGTAATGTTACAGAAAATGTATATTTTCACATACATGCTGTTTAAATGTATAAAAACAGGTCTTTTAACTTGTAATATTGTAATTAATTGTAATGTTTTACAATATTTAATATTATTTTAAATACATATTTCATATTCATATAAATATCATATTCATATAAATGTATTTATAACTTATTTTTATAATACAATTACATATAAAAAAGAAATATAATTATTAAAATATAAAAATTGCATTATTCATTAATACTAAAAAATTACCAAAAATGTACATCAGAGTTCAAAAAGTTCAAATTAAATGGCAACTTTCATATTTATTCATATAAATGTATTTATAATTTACTTTTACAATAAATTAAATATAGAAATTTCAATTATTATAAATATACATTATTAATTCATTG